GCCGAAAAGCAAGGGCCCGGTCGCGCTGTTAAAGCGCCACAGCGCCCGACCGGGCCCCTGCTGACACAGGCCCACTGGGTGGCCCTTAGTGCATGGGCCACCCGATGGGCCCCCATAGTTTGCGGGCAGAGGGCAAACAGGGTAGTTACCTCGGGCCCCCCAGCAGGGACAGGGCCCAGGGCAGCTGCCCCGTTTGCCCCGCGTTAAAGATGGCCCTGGGCATCTTGGTTGCATGATCTACCATATTGCCAAGGCACTGGATTTTATTGTGACATGAATTTGAGGACTTTCCAGTTGAATGTACATTTTTACATTACCGCTCTTTTGAATTACATGTAGGCTTAACTGCTTTCAGATGTTTTGTGGACACCTAGTCTGTAAAACTGGAAGTGATGCTAGAGATTATGGGAATTAGGATTAGAGACTAGGGTTAGATTAGGGGTCATGTGAGATGTGATTGAAGGTTAGGATTAGGTCATGCCTCATGGTCAGACTACTTCAAATAGTTTTCTGATAAGCCACATTTCAATTGTGAGTTCTGTGGGTTTTTTTTTTTTATCTTTTAATAATGTTATATAATTATATTTTGTTTCCTTCATCTACATAATTTCTGATTTAGTGAATAACCCACAGAGGCCCATTTACTAAAACAGAAACTGTGAAGAACTACAAATGACTGACCAAAACTGAATCTGAATTGGACACAGAATGCATTAATGGCCCACATGTACCCACACTAACAAACAGCCATATACACAGACACACAGATACACACACTGACACACATGCAGATACAAACACTAACACACATGCAGATACAAACAGTGACACACATACATATATACAGACAAACAGGTACACACATGCCGATTACAGACACACAGATACAAACACTGTCACATACGCAGATACACAGACCCACATACAGATACAAACACGGACACACACACAGATACACAGACACACAGATACATACATGTACAGAGAAACAAATATGCTGACACACATGCAAACAGCTACACATACTGACACACATACAGATACACAGATAAACACCCTGACACACATACATACAAATACATAGACACACAATGCTGGTCCAAAAATATACACGTTTTAGTCACCCTCCTGTGTCCTACCTTTTTGGTAGAGGAGGGTGGCTTTCCTGTGGTTCAGTGTGCTCGCTCAGGCTATTGAGAGTTCGGTGCTGGCTCTCCCAATCTGCTTTCACCTTTATCTCTCCCACGTGGCTCAGTGTTTATCGGGGAGGAAGTGACCCGGTTCTCACTTCTATCACCGAATACGTAAGGGAACCCAAACAGACCTTAATGTACAACAGAGTCTACTATAATCTGCAACCTATAGAGTGGCCAGCCTTAACGTGTGAAATGTCATACGTTAGATAGCCAAGGTCAAAGTTAGAAGAAATTAGAGTAAAAATGTTAGGCTTTTATGTAAAATAATGAAAAAACTGAAACACAACTACAGGTTCAACTCTTTAATTTGTTACTTAAATAGGAAATTTTAAGAAGAACAGAATATAATAGTGAATTTCAGAGAATTAGTATCTGTATCTTTAAGATTTTTCTTAATATATATATATATATATATATTTATTTGTGGTCGTATACAATTGTCAGGGTTTCTTTGTTGTTTTAACCCCTTAACGCCGTTACGGCGTTCTATGCTGTCCCGCATTAAATGGGCTTTAAAGCTGTTGCGGCGGCATAGAACGCCGCAACGTCTTAAGCCCCCAGAGTGCCTGGGATACTTACCTTCCCGGCGCTCCGCTTCAGGAGGACTGCCTGACAGCCCAGGCAGCCCTCCCACGGCAAATGAGGCCCCCGGGGGCCATGTGATCGCTCTCAAAGAGACAGTGTATGTGTGTGCATGTATATGTGTATAAATATACTTAGATCATATATATAATAATATATATATGATGATAAGAGTATATAATTATTTTTTTTTACACTGATTTAATTTTATTTGAATTCAGCCAGCAGGGGGACTACCTGTTATTACCTGTTATTCCCATTTGTGGTCGTATACAATAAGCCGAGTTATATTAATGGTGGTGTAAGTCGGTTGTGGTATGCCAGAACCGACGTCCGGGTAGGCCTGTAAAAGAGGGCAGAAAGTGTAACAGTGTAACATTGAATACGTGTTGACATTACATAACCAATACTTAAATGCATGTCTCAATTCCCTCTCAGGTTGAGGGATGTATCTGGCATTTGCAGATAACTCTGCTGTCCCGGCAGTTAGATGATATGTACTGGGATATTACTAGAGGTAGTAGGAGTAGCGTGCATTCTTTTAGAATGATCTGAAAATGTTAACAGTTGTATTTGAGCAACTTTAAGTGTTGTGAGCTAGTTAAAGGTTGAGTAGGCAAAAAATATGTGAACGCCGCCATGCAATTGAATGAGTATTGTTTGATGATTTGATATTCGGGAAGTGAGTTTATTAAAAATGGCCAGAGCCCAGTGTATGAACAGGTGGCATTGGCAGAGAGCATTGCGTGTACCAGCAATTAAATCCTGGAATGTAGGGGTTTGGTAGGTCGTTTGGCCGCCGTGAGAATTCGGAAGAATACGAAAAATTGTGATCATGTCACCTCATTGGTTGCTATGTTGTGACAGCCTGGTGTGTGTATGTGAACAAAGTATACTTTCTGTAATGCTGCCAGACAGATCTCTTCCTAATCAACGTTACTACACTCTGTTATTATTATGAAAATTATATTTTTCTCATTTACCTAAATAATTGATGTAAATAACAGTCAGCATAATTCTCATGTTATCAACTATTAAGAGTACAATTCAAATTTTATTCAACAAACCTCCTAATGATAACAGTATTTTTTTTAAACTTAAAAAACTTACAATGCAGTGTTCCAAATTATTACGCACAGTCATCTTTACACCTTCGGGGACCCTAGAGGGTCCGACCAGCTTTCTTCCCATGATTCCGGCCCAAAACATGACTCCACCACCACCTTGCTGACGTCGCAGCCTTGTTAGAACAGGGTGGCCGTCCACGAACCATCCACTACTCCATCCATCTGGACGATCCAGGGTTGCATGGCACTCATCAGTGAACAGGACTGTTTGAAAATTGGTTAGTGGTGGCCGAATAGAGGCTTATGCACAGTTGCAAGACTCTGGAGGACTCTACACCTTGATGTCCGTGGGACTCCAGAGGCACCAGCAGCTTCAAATATCTGTTTGCTGCTATGTAATGGTTTTTTGTTTCAGCTGCTCTCTTGATCCAATGCATGGATCTGGCAGAAATCTTCCTCAATGTGCCTTTATCTGCACAAACCAGTCTGTGCTCAGAATCAGCCACAAATCTCTTAATAGTGCGATGATCACGCTTAAGTTTTCGTGCTCTTCTGATAATGTAGTAGTTTTTCCTTAAATTTGGATCACCTGGCAATCTAATTATCACAGGTGTCCGAGATTGTTTTCAGTGATCAAAAGAGCCCTGAGACACAATGCCATCCATGAGTTAAACTGAAAAACAAATATTTAATATTTAAATAGAATTTGCATAATAATTTGGAACAGGGTTTATTGTTAGTGAATGACCGGTAATAATTCCCATGCTGCTGATTTAGGAAAAGAGGGTAGGTTATGTGTCACTATGGGAAGTGTGTCACAGACCAAGTTAACTATGAAATTAACTGCCATCCCGTGTGGATGGCTGTATAAGTCCAGAAATGAGGGACAATGGTGGAGTGAACAAGGTTTCCCTATTCTGGTGGGATAGAAAGTTTAGTGATATGAACAGGACTGCTCAAGCATATTTTGAATGTAACAGTGCTATTGTTGACAGGTGAACCTGGGAGCAGGTTGAGTGGATGGGAAATGAATGAGCTCCCTTGTGTAAGGTGCATGGTAAAGTTCAGAGGACCAAGGAGAGACTGGAGATCCATATGGGGAACAGGCATCGTTGCCCAGAAAGGATTTTCCCTTTCCCTGATACACTGGACTTTGTCTGTGGGGAGGCTGAACTGCAATGAAATCAAGTCTAATGTATTTATTTCCAGAAATTCAAATTGGTGTAGGGACCTTAGGTTGATCGAGACAGCGGAGTTCCAAAGGATATACCAGATACAAAAGACACATCGGCTTCAGAGTATGGCATAATTGTTACACTCATGTAGCAAATGTATTACTGAGGGTCAATACTGATGTACAAGAGGAGCCTACAGAGAGATTATGCAACTATATTGAATAGTTTGGGCATCTCTCTGGCAAAGTAGAATGCTCAGTTCACTAAATATAGTGCAAATGCCACTGGGACCGATGCACTCAGAGCAACTTGAAAATGAGGAATATGGCATCCTCCTAGTCAAGCCTCTTCTGTGGCCCTTAAGATAAGACCTAATGCTGGGAACTTTAAAGAACGAGTAGCCGATAATAAAATTGAGCAGGGAATTTCCATTAATTAGGCTAATATGGTAGGTGCACACGCAAAATAAATAGGTTGTCAGAAGGGCCCCAGCAAAAAAACGATACTTGATTCTACCACTAATAGCAATTAAGTTGAATGAGTCTTAACTAGTAGTTTGGAGGTTAGGACAGACCCTATGGCGGAACAGACCTCGCCACATGTTTGGCCCTGGGATATATAGCATTTGAAAACACTATTTGTGCCCTGTGACAAAACTGGAGATTGTGCACAAATATGACTATTGTCCATATTTTTTATGATTCCCTTCATTTGTTGCACTGTTCCCCATGTGTTTCATCTGTTGGTCCAGCTGGATAGACTACCAGGCAAACTGTGGAATTACTGGGTGGCCACCATTTCATGTATCAGAGGCACAGGGTGAGAACAATGGATGAAGCACATGGTGAGAACAATGGACGGCGGCCATTTTAACTCACTGACACTGTTTGGACTTTTCTACACGGTGCCATCCCGCCGGTATTTGGTGCACAAAGACATTGTGCAGTAGTTTTAAACTATACAACAGGGGACACATTATACAGTAATTATTTTTCATATAGCCTGTATATGTTCTGTGGAATCTGCATTAAACTGTATCTTCCAAACTACTGAACGGATCTGGGTGAATTTTGGATATGTGGTTCACCCAGATCCCCCGGTTCCGAGGATATACTTTATGGGGTTATTGCATGTTTTGGGCTCCCTGTGATATGTTTTATAATACTGTATTGCTCTGCCTGTGATAATTATATTAACCATTGTGTTCAGTAATCATATCACAGGCAGAGGGGAGGATTTTGTGTGGGAGTGTCTGTGTGTATTGTACGGATTGATTGGTTGTATTTCAAAACCCTGTGGGCAGTTCTATGTTTGTGGATTGTGAATAAAAGAGGCTGTATGTGCCAGTACAGTTAGTTCTGCTTGACCTCAAAACGAAGTGTCGTCTTGTTATTGGGGGAATTGGATTGTATGCTGATTGCCATTAGTGTAAGCTGATCCTGTTCAGCTGCTTACATCAAATTCTCCGGTTCAGTGGTTGAGGACTCCAAGCACTGCTGCTGCAGTGCTTGGAGTCCTCAGGAAGCGCTAGGAGCATCCTTCACCGGAGGTACCCAGTCTAATACCTGATCGAAGTAAAATGATGCCTGTGCGGAAATCTACTGTGAAACCTGTAATTAGAAACTCAACTAGAGGAGGGCAAGTGTGAGTATTGAGTGAGACGCCTCTTAGTGACAAAAGGCAAGTACCAATATGCAACAGTCAGATTGCACCATCTGCGTTCCCTAGCTTTGACCTACTGACAAGTCTCGTAGCTATGTCCTTCCAAAGGACAGAGGAACTCACTGTATAGATAACAATAGACAATAACAATAGATAACAATAGACTGGCGGTGTAACACTGAGGGGATAGAAGTAAGGAGCATGACGTAGGGTACTACATGGGAGGATAAGACGTCCAAAGTCAGGAGATTCTAAACATCACTAGTGTCAACAGTTGTTCATAAGGATGAAAGGATGTGAGCCATCATGGCCTACATGCCTTTTTATAAATCATTGGTGTGACGAGAGCAATCTCGCCACATTGCATTGGAGAAGCCTGGTTGGCCGCCTGTTGCATCTGGACTATGGCCCCATGGTAAAAACTTGTATTTTCCCCTGCAGAAAGGCTTATTCGTGCCTTTCTGACAGGGTGTTCGGTAAATTCTATGTACTGAACAACCACACGAATGACTGGACCGCCTGGGAGCTGCAGTGTGTCAGCAATTTACCTCCCAGAAGCTGCGGTTAACCGCAGCTTAATTGACAATCACTGGGTGGTCGCGGTTACACCTAGCAACCACACGATGGCGGTGTTATGGAAGCTCCCCGGGTAGCCAGCGCTTGTTCTACCCAGCGACAGGACACCAAATGCAGACACTTTGTCTTTCAAGTCCCGCTGAGGCTAGAGGTCTGCAAACCCGTTCGGGAACCGAACAACGGAGCATTCGGGACTTTTAGTGTTGCAATGTATTCGGTGTAAAAGTACCCAGATAGCCTGCCATGGAGCCTGTTCATGGAATTAAAGACTTTGGCTCCATGGCGATTAAACTGTATTCATGTGGTCTGAGCGCCATTCGCTTAATAATGTGTGCTCAGACCTGAGCTATCTGGGGATATGTTAAATGTATATATTTATTGTAACCTTTCTAACATGGGGATTTTAACAGTAATTCCTATATTGGTATCCCCACGTGCATAATGGCGATTTGCCTTTGTCCTGGGAGATAGTTAAATTACTTCTCAATTATCTCCAGGGCAGAGGGGAGGAAGCCAGGATGCATTGTGGGAATATAATGTGACTGTGTGTCCTAGATTGATGCTTGTCTGTCCTTGGTTACAGTCTCCCATGTGGTCCCCTAGGGGAGTGTCCACCATGTGGGAGACCTGCATAAATACTGGGCAGGTACCCCTCATTAAACAGACCACTGCTTGACCCTCAACACGGAGCCTTGTCTCGTCTTTGGGGGGATTTACTGAATGCTGTTAGAGACTGATTGCTAGGAGTATAAGCCGCTTGGGTGCTTTTCCTATTCGTCTGCTAGCAGCTATTCGTGAGGTTCCAGTTCGTGAGTTTGGAGTGCTATTCTGTATGCAGTTCGGGAGTTTAGAGCATTCCCTTACATGCGGTTCGGCGGATTGGTGTTCCACAGTAGCTGGGGAAGATCTTTTAAACTGCGGTTTAACCCTTTTATGCTGAGGGTGCCGTTACAACTGGTAAGACCCCATATTGAATATGCTGTGCAATTTTGGGCAACTGTTCTAAAGAAGGATAATTATGGCACTAGAAAAAGTGCAGAGGCGGGCTACAAAATTAATAAAAGGAATGGAACATATCAGCTATGAAGAAAGGTTAACAAATTTAAACCTATTTAGCTTAGAAAAACGTCGCCTGAGAGGGGATATGATAACATTATACAAATATATTCGGGGCCAATACAAACCATTGTGTGGAAATCTATTCACAAACCGGACTTTACATAGGACACGAGGCCATGCGTTTAGACTGGAAGAAGGAAGATTTCGTCTAAGGCAAAGGAAAGGTTTTTTGTACTGTAAGAACAATCAGGATGTGGAATTCTCTGCCTGAAGAAGTGGTTTTATCAGAGTCCATACAGATGTTCAAACAGCTACTAGATGCATACTTGCAAAAACAGAATATTCAAGGATATAATCTTTAAATGTAGGGTAATAACTGGTTGATCCAAGGATAAATCTGACTGCCATTCTGGGGTCAAGAAGGAATTTTTTTCCTAGCTTGTTGCAAAATTGTGCTTCAAACTGGGTTTTTTTGCCTTCTTTTGGATCAACAGCAAAAAACAAATGTGAGGAAGGCTGAACTTGATGGACGCAAGTCTCTTTTCAGCTATGTAACTATGTAACTATACATCCCTGTCATGCTGTCTGTGTTTCCAGCTTGGGTGCCAACACAAGGTAGGGGAGCCATGAGCTACAAACCAGAGTCTATACAGCATAATTTTCCAAGCCAAAGAAGGGAATGGCATGCCTTTATGTCGGAGCTCGGCAGTAAAAGTAGAATGGTACAAGATCACCAGGAACTGGGGCATCCTGGGTTACGGCTGGAGTGCATGGTCTAGGTGGGGTGAAGGGTTTGGCTGGGGAGCCTGGATTGAAATATCTTACTAGTTCTGAGGTCTACATGTAGAGTAAATGTGACAGTCATGTAGGTGATAGTATAACAACTGGCGACTTGCATAGTGCCAAATGGCAAAAAATTATCTAAATGAGGGCTAATTGCTAAGTGGCTCTGAGAGGCTCTAGCTATGAATTGGCTGAGGGACTGAGGCCACCGAAAGATGTGGCAGAAATGTTGGCCTCTTGGTGATAAGTAAGAGATTCAAAGGAGTGGCTGTGACATGTAAGGTCCTATCTAAAACCTAGAGAGGTAGGAGCAAGGCTTTAACTATGAGTTGGGCAGATGGACTAATACCTCCACATGAGGATTAATGTAGGCCTTGCATGACTGAAATACAAATATACAATACATGGCCCAAGCCAGTTGATCTATATCTAAGTAATGTATGGGAATTAAAATGTATTGAATTGATAGAAAGTATGTTGGAACGTACATATCTTGCCCTACTAGTCTGTGGCTGAGCTTGAGAAAGGAATATCATAGAGAGGAACCTAAAGCCACAATATGAACGTTCATGGAAATATTAGAGAGGACTTGAAAACAGGTCTGCAAGGAGGCACACCTGGTTCCAGTCCTATTATCCTAATGGAAATTACTGAGTAAAGGTAATTGGCATATAGTGCTTAATTTACATAAGCATAGAAAATAAAAAACTTTATTGTCCAATATTGGATAAACACATCTAAATATCCCAGACACCAAAAAGAAGTGAAAAAATAATAATAATGAAAAAAAGGAGATGATAGTACGTATAAAAATAGGACCAACTGCTGGAGCTAATGTGTACAAAGTGTACTAATTACAAAATAGCCAGATAGTGATACTGATGAAGTGGAAACAGTATCTGAGGGGAGATATACAGTGTATACATAGGTAGATGCAATAAGGTAACCCTAGTCGTACTAGCCAAGTTGCAACAGAATGGGTATATCTTATAACTAGTCAAGCTCAAAGTAATGTAAATCTGTCTGTGTGGCTCTAAGTACAGCAGGATCAAATAGGTGTATGGCTTTTCAGAGAGTATCTGGGAAGTCCACAGCAGATCCCAGATAAAATAGAATCATGATCGGGAAAACTGACAGTGGATAACATAAAAGATTAGATTGCTTCTCCCCTATTATGATAGTCTCTGACAGCACCTAAATGTAGGTAACTGAGCGTTCTACCCTGATAAAATTCAGGGCATAAGTATCAAAGAGTAAAAAACAAAACCGGCTTGAATAAACCTATACAGGGAGTGCAGAATTATTAGGCAAATGAGTATTTTGACCACATCATCCTCTTTATGCATGTTGTCTTACTCCAAGCTGTATAGGCTCGAAAGCCTACTACCAATTAAGCATATTAGGTGATGTGCATCTCTGTAATGAGAAGGGGTGTGGTCTAATGACATCAACACCCTATATCAGGTGTGCATAATTATTAGGCAACTTCCTTTCCTTTGGCAAAATGGGTCAAAAGAAGGACTTGACAGGCTCAGAAAAGTCAAAAATAGTGAGATATCTTGCAGAGGGATGCAGCACTCTTAAAATTGCAAAGCTTCTGAAGCGTGATCATCGAACAATCAAGCGTTTCATTCAAAATAGTCAACAGGGTCGCAAGAAGCGTGTGGAAAAACCAAGGCGCAAAATAACTGCCCATGAACTGAGAAAAGTCAAGCGTGCAGCTGCCACGATGCCACTTGCCACCAGTTTGGCCATATTTCAGAGCTGCAACATCACTGAGTGCCCAAAAGCACAAGGTGTGCAATACTCAGAGACATGGCCAAGGTAAGAAAGGCTGAAAGACGACCACCACTGAACAAGACACACAAGCTGAAACGTCAAGACTGGGCCAAGAAATATCTCAAGACTGATTTTTCTAAGGTTTTATGGACTGATGAAATGAGAGTGAGTCTTGATGGGCCAGATGGATGGGCCCGTGGCTGGATTGGTAAAGGGCAGAGAGCTCCAGTCCGACTCAGACGCCAGCAAGGTGGAGGTGGAGTACTGGTTTGGGCTGGTATCATCAAAGATGAGCTTGTGGGGCCTTTCGGGTTGAGGATGGAGTCAAGCTCAACTCCCAGTCCTACTGCCAGTTCCTGGAAGACACCTTCTTCAAGCAGTGGTACAGGAAGAAGTC